GATGGGTGGTTGGATGGATGGATGGGTGGGTGGATGGATGGATAGATGGGTGGGTGGATAGATGGATGAATAGATGGATGGGTGGGTGGATGGATAGATGGATGGATGTAAACAAATAGATTAATCATGACAAATGCAGCAGGGCAGTCAAGTTATATAAGGTGAGGACCCAGCAGTGACAAATGACTTCAGCAAGAGGGGGCTCTGTGGTGACTGGATAAGAGCTTCTTTGTTCAATTAGTAAGAAATGGATCCAGAAGAGAATGAGAAGTGAAAAAGTATAACAAGTATAGACGACCATTTTGATGAGTTTTGTTGTGAACAGGAGCAAAAAAAAAATGGTGGAGATGGAAAGAGATGTAAGAGTGAAGGAATAGTTTATTATTTTTTATAATGATAATGTGGCATGTTTGTATGTAGATGCACATGACCCAGAAATTACTGAATTAATGATGATGGCACAAGAGGGGAAAAATGAGGAGGAGGAGGAGGGAGGGAGAAGGAATAATTTAATTTTAGGAAGGAGTCAAGTCACTAAGAAGGTGCTAAGAGATGGGATCCAGGATGCACATGGAAGGACTGGCCTTCGATAGGAACAGGGATGGTTCATTTACTGAAATAGTAGAGAAGGCACAATTTGTGGGTGGGATACAGGTGGGCTATTAGATTTGATGGCGGGGAAATGAGAGAATTCTCTTCTGGCTGCTTTCATTATCTCAGTGAAGGAAGAGATGTGCTCATTAACTGGGAGCAGAGAGAGGGGAGGGATGCTAGGATCTTGAGAAGAGAAGGAAAATGTGGGATGCAATCATCACAGCCAGGGCAAGAGAGCAAACTGTCCAGGGTAGGGGAGGTGTGTTTCCAGCAAGGTCAAGGGCCCATGTGATATGTGTGGCTGAAAATCTGAAACACACCAAGCCTAAATGGTGGTGGTTTTTTCACAATAATCTTCAGATGCTCGGGAGCAGGTGTGGAATGAGACAGTGGGGTTTACCTAGGATGGGGTTTTTTCACATGGACATAATGCCAGGAAAGTTAGGGAGCTTGCACCAGGATAATGGAGCTTATGGTGGTTGAAGACAGTAAAGACATGGTAGGCAGAGGGGCGAAGGAGTCTGAGAAAGTGGTTGGCTCCATGAAATGAAGTCTTGATGAAGCTGAAGAATAACTGGACTATTTTTATTTGGGGCAACGTGGAAGGATCTTGAAGTGAGAGAAGTCAGACAGAGAAAGACAAATACCATAGGATCCTACTTATATGTGGAATCCAAAACAAAAAAACAAAACAAAACAAAACAAAAACCCACACAACAAAACAGACATATAGAAAGAGAGATCAGATTTGTGGTTGCCAGAGGTGGCGGGATGGGGGTGAGGAATTAGGGGAAGGTGATCAAAAGGTACAAAATCCCAGGCATAAGATAAATGAGTTCTGGGGAGGTCAAGTATAACACGATGACTAGAGTTAACAATGCCATATCGTACATATGCAAGTTGCCAAGAAAACAGATCTTAAAAGTCCTCATCAAGAGGAAACAAAATTGTAACTTGTGAATGACGGTTAATCTTATTGTGGTAATCGTTTTGTATTCTACACATATGTCAGACCACGATATTGTACACCTTAAACTAATGCAATGTTAAATGCCAATTATATCTCAGTAAGACTGGGTCAAGAAGGAATTCCCTGGAATAAAAACCACAGCAGGTGAGTGGAAGGGTAGGAGGTACAGTTCAGAGAGTAGGCTGTTTGAAATGGAGATGGTGGAGACGGATTTATCGCTGATGACGGAAGTTCTGGGGTAGGAACACGGGAGCGAGTGGCTAAGGGGGGATTGGAGCTAACGAGGCCAAGGGGCAGAAAGACTAGGTGATACACAGATGCCAGCCGGAAAGAACGATGTGGTCAAGGAGGGAAGTTGGCCCAAGTACCCAGGTCATTGGTAAGTGTTGGGGAGGGACTGGATGTCAGCAGATGGCAGTAAGAAGGCGAGGTAATAAGTATGAAAGTCTAGTTACTTGTGCTTTTGAGGAACCGGGGTTTGTGAAGGATAAAGGGAGAAATGGTTTAAATGGGCCACTGAAATGAGGTGGGAGAGAAGGAGGGTCCTTAGCTCTCTCTAGGGCCTGGAGTACATAGAATGGGGGAGGAAAAAAGAGCTTTCCTCAACTCAGGGGTCAGTGAGGTTTCACTTAGAATCATCAATGAGGGGAAGTTCCGAGAAGCTGAAGATGAAGTGGGTTTTGCTGCTGAGGTCCACAGGTACCAGGGGACAGGGTGGAAAGATTCTGGAAGGTGGGATGTGACTCAGTAAAGAGCCATCAGAGGGACAGAATTTGGTGTAAGTATACATCATCCAGGAGGCTTGGTGACTACTCTCACTGATTCCATTGACAGCAACAACACTTACGAGGGTATTTAATTTTTGAAATATGTGAGCATTTAAAGAAAAATCTTCCATCTCATTATTTTAAAGTTGGCCCTCAGACTCGTATGGGGTGGGAACATGGGTCCTGAGCTGTTCTGGTGCCTCTTTTACGATCTCAAATTTTCCCTTGGTGTCACCGTGGTCCTGCCTAGGGATCATAAATGACAGACAAGGAAATAAATCCAGTTCTGCCCGAGTTCAGCATCCTGCTGCCTCCTAGGGCCGGTGGAGGATGCCGCGGCCACTGCTCTACCAGCCACCATCTTGACCTCCATGACAGATGCATAGCTGCTTTCCTGGTTTGATCAAGGTGTCCTCAAATGCCCAAAAGAGACGTCTGACATTGGGAAGAAGAGACAATTGAGGAAAGGCAGGAACAGCAGCACACTTACACGTGGCGCATGGCGTCCTCAAAGAGAACCAGGTCCATCACTGTGTTGACTTCATTGTGGTTCTCCAGGGCTTCCACCAGAGCGTGGGTCAGAAGTTCCCACGACTGGACGGGCATGTACTTGGGCTCACCGATACCACTGGCAAAATGGCAGTACATATTCAGGCTTCGGGTCTGCTCCACAGTCTCATCAATATCCTGGTGGTGGAACATAAGCGTAAGGACCCCCTTTACCGACTCAGTTCTGGTTCCACAGAGTAGAGACCCCTCATCTGCTTTTTCTCTCTGGACACTTCCTGCAAATTAAGTTATCAGTGCTGCTTCCACCACTTCCTTTCTCCTGAGCAGCTCTTATGAAGTAGAAGTTTAACATTCATTTACCAGCTCCATGAAGTCATGGGTGATGTTTATTATTCCCTGTGGGCTGAGGATGGGAAATGGAAGGTGGAAGGTACCCGTCCCATATGCACAGTAAGAGTCCATGTCTGGGCAGAGGAGTGGATGGGGACACATGGATAGATTTCCCTAAGCAGGGGCTCTTTCATCACTGCTGGGTAAAGGGGTCCATGCCCCAGTGCCCTCATCTCCCCCACATTTGTTCCAAAAGGTCTTGCTTCCCAGTCCACAGCAGCATCATAAAACATCCTTTCCTCTTTCCTATGAGACAGCACACTGGAGGTTTCCAGCCCCAACTTCATTGGCTCAGCCCAGAGAACTTGGTTTCTAAAAAAAATGCATCATGAGCCATCCTTAGATGACTGGTTTGTTTATGAGGATCCTGATAATCCGAAAATGTTCACAGGAGAGCCTCCTATATATGAAATTTTCATAAAGATAGGAGCTGATTGTGTGTTAATTCTTGCCCACAGGGCAGACCTTACCATGTTTAACAAAAACCGAGTACAACTCAATTAATTTAAAAGACAGCATGTCTGTGTCTCTTTACTACCAATGTACCTCTAAGTATCAAAGAGGCAGCTAATCATTTTAATTTAGAAAGGAACTACTTACTTATCAAAACCCAAATCCTAGAGACTTCAAAAGGAAGAAAGGTGGTAGGGGAAGTAAGTCCAAGAAAGAACATGCTTTCTAGTACCTAAGTAGAAATTTATATGAGTATGAGCAACTGTCCCCACCTGCCATTTTTTTCTTCCAAAGTTCTGACTGGGAGAAGCACCTGGGAAAGAGGAAACCTGCATGCTCTTTATCAGCAGGGACGTTACCCCGGGAATGAGTCACTACTGTAGGGTTAGCTTTGTAAGCCCAAGGGATAAGAGTCATCAAATCTAATGGAGGGGAAGTGAGGATGATAGTCTCATCTACAGAGAAACCAGGACTGCTGCCTGGTTTATAAGAATGAAATGGAAAGAGTTAAATATCAAAGAGTTATTATACTTTGAAGGTGATTTCAGGGCCATGGAAAGCCTTTAAACTATTCTGGCTTTGCCACACATGAACAGTAAATGTTTAATGCAAGGCAAGAGAGCCATTCTTGCTCGCTGCAGAAGGCACTTGGGGAAGTGATGTGGGAACCCATTTACCCAGTTTGAAAATGGCTAATATACTGGGAATTGGTCCTGCTGGAAGTCAATTTACACTAATGATCTAGCAGAGGAATGACTGAAGTACAGTTCTGAAAAGGCTGGTCTACAAAGACTCTTTGATGAACAAAACAATGTGTCTCCGATGTTAGGATCAGAGTCAGGCTATTCCAGAGGGAGAGAGAAAATCAACTCGCCTGGCAATTCAAAGATTTCTTAATAGCAACACCACATCACACAAGGACCATTTCTCGGAGAACTTTAAGATTTCACTGGTAGAAACAGGACTGTATCACTTCCTTGGTGGAAACGTGGCAACTTTTCTTTAATACCGCTGTCAAGATCTGATGCAGCCAAAGGTACTTCCGGCTGGCATTTCAAATGTTGTTGGGGAAGGATGACGGCAGTATTAATTATATTTCGGTCTATGATCTAAAGAATGTGTTCTTAGGATACAGACCTACATGGGAACCTCTATTTCAAAGGCTGAATGTTGGTACTCTGAAGTGCCAGCTCAAATCAATGGGAAAAGAGAGTCAAGGCTTGTTTGCAGAGCTAACAATGAATACATGAGTTGGCAAATGCTACAGTGCTCAGAGGGGCACCTAAGATGTGAGAGTACTGAATATTGGGACATAGAAAAATGATAAGTGGGGGAATTTCAGGGTGTTCATACTAGTAAAAAGCCAACTGACTCAGTCGTTAAGCGTCTGCCTTCAGCTCAGGTCATGATCCCAGGGTCCTGGGATCGAGCCCCACATCGGGCTCCCTGCTCCGCGGGAAGAAAAAAAAAGAAAAAAAAAAAGAGATAAGTTACTTAAAAATGCTGTCTAAGGGGTGGCTGGGTGGCGCAGTCAGTTGGGCGTCTGGCTCTTGGTTTCGGCTCAGGTCATGATCTCGAGGTTGTGAGATCGAGCCCCCACATGGGGCTCTGTGCTCAGTGCGGAGTCTGCTTGGGATTCTCTCTCTCTCTCTCTCTCCCCCTCTGCCCCTCCCTCTTGTGCTCTCTCTGTCTCTGAAATAAATAAATCTTTAAGAAAAAATGCTGTCCTATCATGTAGGTTGGGATGGACTGTAAGTATCTTCAGAGGTAGATCCAGGATGGTATCAGGAAAAAATCTGGTGCTAGACCTAACCAGGTGAGCTTAGGGACAACATGGTACATTTAAATACAAGTTTTGATTATTTCTAAGTTCAAGAGAGGACAAGCAGTATGTGTGGAAAATATGCAGATCTGGTCAACTTTTAGAAGGCTCAGTGTTAGTTGTGGGGTAATTTTGACACTAGAAGTGTAGTATGATCTTAGGCTGTGTTAATGTGTGCTTCCCAAGGCATATTCTACGCAGTATTCATTCTGCAAATTATTAACAGGTTTTATGAAAGGAAAAGAGTTTTAGGGTCTCATACATTTGGGAAATGATAAATGAATCAGGGTTATTTAAGAATTTTAGGGCTTTAATGTGCTAAAAGCACTGTGAATTTCCAAGAGAGGGAAAGAATATGAAGTACTTCTCAATTTATCATGGATATCTTCTTTCCAAAGAGTGTATTGTAGTGCAACTAGTTAGTGGAGTAACAAAATTATAGTGTATAAGAGGGAATGATGATCTTGCTTTTGGCCAGACCTCAGTTGGGTTGTGTGATGAAAGTCAGACACCATGATTTCAGAGGGGGGACCTGATGGAAAAGCAATCAAGATGATGGCAAATTTCTCTGGGTTCGAAAACAAGCCATGTCAGAAGTGGCTAAAAGAACACAGGCTATTTGGTCTAGAGGAGAGAAGACTCAGTAAGGACAAGACAAATGATCTTAAAATATTTGAAAGTTTTTCATGTAGACCTAAAAATTCATGGACAGGGAAATAAATTTTAGATCATTATTAGAAAAAAGTTCCAGCCTTTAAAATTGTTCTAAAGGCTCCAAATTTCAAAATTGTTCCAAATTCCCAGTCATTAGCAGTTCCAAAATGGCACCCTTTGGAAAGATGAGACTGGCCATTTTCAAGGATGTTGGAGCATCCACTGGGATGACCAATCTGGGAAATGCTATTGAGAGGAATCAGTATATGATGAGGAATTGGATCAGATGATCCCCATAGACCTTTTCAACACTGACATTCTATGATTAATTTGTGCCTTTTGTTGCCCTAGCATTTTTCACCTCAGCAAAATAATGATAGATTTCTTTCCCTATCAATCTCTGATTTTTTCCCCCAATTTATGAGCTAGATTTTATCATTTGGGTGATTATCTGCATAATTATTATTTTTCAAATGTAAAAGAATTTTTTGCAAGGCAATACTCACGTCAAAAATTTTCTTGACCACTTCTGTCTGGATTTTATCAAAAAGATCAAAGTCCTTTTCTTCCACCATCTTATCCCGATAAACCCGATTTGATTCATGCAGATAGAGCTTTACTAGGTCCTGTGTGGATTTTACACATTCTACTGAGGAGAAGAGAATGCCCTTTAAAGAGAATAGAGAAAATATCATGTGAAGAACAATTTAAAACTACAACAGCTGTAATTTATTGAACCAGTTATGTGACAGGTACTGGGCTAGAAGCTTTGTCAGATAAAACTCATTTAACCACCATGATGATCCTACAAAATAATTTTTACTGTATCCATTTTGTACAGTGTGGACATTGGGATTCAGAAAGACAGGAATTATGCCTAATGTCATATATATAGTATGCGGTCTTAGTACAAAACCACAAGGTTTTGAAACTAGGTCTGCCTGACATTAGAGCCTGAAATTTTGACCATTACATTCCAAATAACCACAGTGAGGAGAGAGGTAGCTTCTCTGCTATATTTCAATTCCCTAAGTGCCAACTTGAAAACCAGTCCAGGGGACAATTGTTTATGTAAAATCAGAATGATGACAAAGGGTTGGAATGACTATAGCTAACTTTTGCAGGTCAGCAATCCATTTATTTATTTCTAGTAGGTTCTCCTTCCATACACCATAGGGATTATTCCAAATATTTACTATTCTTTTAAATTTTTTCTGTCACCTCACCTCTCTCTGTTACTATTAGTCAACGTCTTAGCCTTCTTTTTCATTGAAAAATGGAGACCACCAAGATTAGAGTCTCTCAATGACCTCAACAGGTCTTATAACTTCAAACTCCTCTAAACCTATGTTTTCCCCATTGCTTTCTTTTTTATCATAGAGGGAAAGGGGCCATTTAATTATTCCTCATCACCAATGGAATAATGCTTTGACTCATGAGCATGGCATAAAGTTCTGGTTATAATAGGACTACCAGTCTAGTTCCTCATGATCACTCTTATCACCACTTCCCATAAAATCTAGATTTCAGTTTCACCAAATTAAAATTATTTTATGATGCTGCATATTTTCTGTGCCTTCATGCCTTTTGCTTTTCTTGCTATGCTCATATTTCAAGATCCAATTCAAGGGTTATCTCTTTCTTGAAGTCTCATGGCAACTCCCTCTCTGCCCAACAGCATACCCTCTGATGTGCCCCCACTTAACACTTTATATATACATCTATTTGCTTCTAAAATCGTTCTTCTTTGTACAGGTTTGTTTCTTCCAGTTCATGATGAGTGTCTCAAAGGCAGGGAAATTGACAGGCTTCATTTTGGGTGTGGTTTATTTTTATAATTGTATTATTGGCATCTAGCATGGTGCCTGACATAAACTAGATTCTCAATGAGTGCTCACTGAAAGAATGAATGGACTAATACTGAATCCTTCAATTACTATAACATAGCAAGAACCTCCAACAAGATTTCTGCTTTTGGTAGTGGCAGAATACTGGATTACAAACCAATCCACTGAAGTCAACTACAAAAGACAGGAAAATTATCTTTATTTTTTAAAAGATTTTATTTATTTATTTGATGGGGGAGGGGGGCAGAGAGAGAGAGCCCAAGCAGGGGGAGCAGCACAGGGAGAGGGAGAAGCAGACTTGCCCAATGCAGGGCTCAATCCCAGGACCATGGGATCATGACCTGAGCTGAAGGCAGATGCTTAACTCACAGCCATTCAGGCTCCCCAGGAAAATTATCTTTAAAGCTTCATCTTTCTAGGGGCGCCTGGGTGGCTCAGTTGGTTAAGCGACTGCCTTCGGCTCAGGTCATGATCCTGGAGTCCCGGGATCGAGTCCCGCATCGGGCTCCCTGCTCGGCAGGGAGTCTGCTTCTCCCTCTGACCCTCCTCCCTCTCATGCTCTCTGTCTCTCATTCTCTCTGTCTCAAATAAATAAATAAAAT